GCTCACCTGGCACACTTCCAGCAGGAACCTGTTAGGTGGGCTGGGCTGGAGTCCCCTTCAGCAGACGTCTCCTCTTGGTTCCTCTCCAGGCACCAACTGCCCTGCTCCTGTAAGCTCCCACAGGCAGGTTGTTTTGGGGGCAGAGCCCGACCTCTCTCCCGGACTGCAATGCCCTGCTGTTGTGGTTCTGGCCCCTATAAGCACCACCCTCACTGCACCGATCAGCATGGTCTCAGTAATGGCTTTTAAAAAAGACTTATTTGTGCGTGCGTGCATGCATATGTGTGTGTGCATTCAGAGCTCAGAAGAGGGTGTCGGATCCTTCCAAGCTGGAGTTACATGTTTTCAGGATGCCTGTTACATGGGTGCTGGGGTCTGAAATCTGGTCCTCGTGATTATGCAGCAAGTGCTCTAAAATCACGGAGCCTTCTCTCCAGCCCCAATAACACCTTCTTTAACATCACCTTAGCAACTACCACAAGTAGTATTTGCTTTAGGCTGGACATGATGACACTCACCTTTACTCTCAGCAGACACAGGTAGGTCTCCGTGACGTTGGGGCAAGCCTGTTCTACATATGGAGTTTCAGGCCACCCAGGGTTACACAGTGAAACACTGTCAAAAATATTGTTTTTTGTTTAACATGAAAGTCCCACCTGCCTGGAGCTCAGAGATATAGACAAGGACATTTTCAAGTCTTTGATGTGTTGTGTGAGGAGTGGAACACAGAAGAGAAATAAATTAGGCCCCTGGAGGCTGACAGCCTGGGACTGACTTGAGCAGGTTTCTTGCAGAAGATTGCTGGAGCCACCCTGAAGTGGGGTGACCCATAGCAGGGGAAGTGGCCTTCCAGCAGAGAGACCACTTGTTCAGGGTGCAGCTTCTGATCGGGGCTCAGGGCTATCACTCTTTGGAGATGTGTATAGTCCAATGGCTACAGCTCCATGAGCTGCGGTTCCCACCACATTCATCCACTTGAGTTCATCCATGACGAGTCGACACAGCAGCTCCTAGAGGACTCAAAATCATGCCTAGACTTGTTACAGGGCTAGAACAGAAGAATAAAATCTGTCCTTGTCCCCAGGAGACACTTGAGCTGCTAATGTCCCCATGGTTTGGCAGAAAAGATCAGCAACAGCAACAATAAAATTGGCAGAGCTGGATGGATGAGGCAAAGCAGCGGTGTGTGGACACTTGGCAAATGGAGGTGATTAACAGCTTGCTTATCATCCCAACACAGTCTCTGCAGGTTGAAATGTTAGTGTAAGGCCGGGAAGACACATGCCATGGCTGAATGTTCCTACCCCATCTGGACTACCAGCCTAGGTTTCCTTGGTGTCCAGAGGCTTGTGGTGAATTGTCAGACCTTTGGTGCTAATCCAAGCCGATTCAGGATAACCAGGTTTTGCAGTATACTGGGTAAGACGCATTAATTTCCAATAACTTAATATTTATCTTAAATGGAGTCTGATAGTAGTACAGAAATTGCTGACATAGCACATAGATCCTTCTGGATTTTTTTTTTTTTTTTTAAGACAAGGGTCTCACTATGTAGCTCTGGCCTGCCTGAAACTTTTCTATGGAGAAGACCAGGCTGGCTTCAAAATCACAGTGATCCACCTGCCTCTACCTCCTGAGTGCTGGTTAAAGGTATGTACCACCACTCTCTACCTGCTTTTTCTTTCTTAATAAACTGTCTCTAGAAGAGGGATGGAGAGTTGACTCAGAGGTTAAGAGTACCTATTGTTCTCGCAAAGGATTTGAGTTCAGTTCCCAGCATCTATGTGGTGGCTCACAACCATCTGTTAGTGCCAATGCTATGGGATCCAAACACCATTTTCTGACCTCGGTGGGCACTAGACATGAACATGGTGCACGAACATACATACAAAATAATAAAATAAAGAAATCTAAAAAAAATTGTATAAACCATCTCTCTCTCTATTTCTCACCATGTGTCTTGGGTACAATACTTTGCGCTGGTGTGGTAGGGGCCTCTGAAAGCCATGGGAAAGAAAAACAGAAAATAGCCACTCAGGCTGAACAACGCCCTTGAATATATAAAAATGATTACATCTCTCCTTCACCCCCATCTTTGCTTAGTGTCCCCAGAGACCTTGAAGGAAAGGCCATCATGTGGTTTAGTTTTTGCCAAGTTTATGTGAGACCTTGCTACATTTCCCGAGTGGCCCTCCTTTTCTCCATATCTAGGCCATCTTTAGAATCCCACTTAGCCGGGCGGTGGTGGCCCACGCCTTTAAGCCCAGCACTCGGGAGGCAGAGGCAGGCGGATCTCTGTGAATTCGAGGCCAGCCTGGACTACCAAGTGAGTCCCAGGAAAGGTGCAAAGCTACACAGAGAAACCATGTCTTGAAAAACCAAAAAAAAAAAAAGAATCCCACTTTAAGATTTTAAAATAAAAATATAAAATATATTATAAAATTATAATATTTAAATAATTTATAATTAAATAAAATTATAAGTTGCCATATATGGAAGACATGGAACCAAAGGCCACATAAAAAAGTCTCAGTGTCACTTTTTTTTTTTAAAGCAAGAGTTTCACTGAGACTGCTAGAGTAGTCAAAAACTGTTTTCCTGAAAAGTCTTGGTGTCTTGTCTCTTTGTCTCACAACATTAGGACCCAAGAAACCTAGAATCAAGTGCCCTTTGAACTCAGGCCTGAGCTGTTAACATTCTGAACTTAGATTGGGGCCCAACACTAAGCATATTTTCTCCCTTTCTTTCTCTTTATCTCTGGATTCTGGCCAGAAGCCTAGTAAGCATGCTTTCGCTTCCCCTAGTACTCTGGGCTTTCTGTTTCTGTGACCTTCATTTAAACGCAAAAGGCTCCGTTCTCCAAGCAGCTGTAGAATTTCCAGCTTACCTACTGACTTTCTGTTTCTATCAGGGTTTCTATTGCTGTGATGAAACACCATGACCAAAAAGCAAGTTGGGGAGGAAAAGGTTTATTTGGCTTATACTTCCACATTGCTGTTCATCACCAAAGGAAGTCAGGACAAGAACTCAACCAGGCAGGGACCTGGAGGCAGGAGCTGATGCAGAGTCCATGGAGGGGAGCTACTTATTGGCTTGCTCTGCAAGTCTTGCTCAGCCTGCTTTCTTATAGAACCCAGGACCACCAGGCCAGGGCTGGGCCCTCCCCCATCGATCACTAATTGAGAAAAAGCCTTATAGCCAGATCTTATGGAGGCAATTTCTTAATTGAGGTTCCTTCCTCTCTGATGACACTAGCTTCTGTCAAGCTGACATAAAACTATCCAGCACACCTACTCTATTGTTTTTCTCTCAACTACTAATAAACTTGCTTTCAAGCTTCCAAGTCCATTTCTAAAATCTTTTGTTAACGAGACTACAGACCTACAACAGGGAACTCCAGAACCAAGAACAGGGTCTCAAAAGAGATAATCTGTACGGTCGTTTTCATAGCAGCATTACTCCCAGCATTCAAAACGTGGACACCTCCCGAGTGCCCATTGACAGCTGAGTGCGTAAGGGCAATGTGGGCATTCACGGAATGGAATACAGCTTTCAAAAAGGGGAGGTGCATGGACGAAGGCCGCGTGGAAAGAGCCAGGTGCAAGAGGACAGCACCAGAGCTTCAATCCACAAGCACAGAAAGCAAACCGTGGGTGCCAGGGTCTGGATGTGTTTCTGGGGGAGCCGTATGGTGGTGAGGGCTGTGCAGCAGTATGAAGAATGCTGACCTGAATGTACTGAAGGTGGCCTTGCTGCCTGGTTTTCATCAACCTGACACCCACCCAGACATATCTGGGAAGAGGGAATCTGGAGAAAATGCCTCCACAAGATCGGCCTGTAGGCAAGTCTCTGGAGGTACTGTCTTGATTAATGACGGATGGGAGAGGGCCCAGCTCACTGTGGGTAGGTGCTCCTGGGTTGTATCAGAAAGCAGGCTGAAGAATCCCCCTAAGAAGCAAGGCAGTAAGCAGCATCTTCCACGGCTTCTGCTCCCGTTCCTGCCCTGAGTTCTTTCAGCAATGGGTGTGACTTGAGAGTTTTCAGATGAAATAAACCCTTTCCTCTCCAAGTTGCTTTTGGGCATGTTTCTTATAGCAATAAAAATTAGGACAGTGGCAATGATGGTTAATTTTATACTGCCTATATTTAACCACCGTGAACAAAGAAATGCCTCCCCTCCTCCTTTCTTCAGGGCAGTACTGGGGAAGGAAACCAAGGCTTTCTGCTGCTAGAAAGTGCTCTACCACTAAGCTATCTCCAACCCTCTTCTTGCTTTTTATTGGAGACAGGATTTTAAGTTGCCCCAGCAGGTCTTGAACTGGCATCCTCCTGCCTCTGCCTCCCGAGGCTGGGATTGCACACCAGGCCCGGTATAAAATGTCAAATTTCATGTTTATATATTTAACCACAACCACAATCGGCTTGAACAGGAGCCAAGTGGGGGAAAGGGCATCGGATGGCTCTAGCCTCGGCGTCTAATCTGGGCGTGCGCACCCATCGACAGGCCGAGGCCCCGCCCACTTCTCCCCCCACGCACGCGCGTTGCCCGCCGCCGACAGGGGTCGCTGTGGCTCCTGCCCTCACTCGCGCCCAAGATGGCAGCCGCGTTGCTGCTCCGGGGCGCGGCTGCGGGGCGCCGAAGCCCGGCCTGGCTCTGGCGGCCGAGCTGGACCCCGAGGCGCTGCTTGGCCCGTGGCTCCGGCGTCCGCGGCAGCCCGGAGGACAGCGTGGCCTGGACCTGCTTCCGGCTAGACGAGCGCGCCTTACTGCGCGTGCGCGGCCCGGACACGGCACCCTTCCTGTTGGGACTATTGACCAATGAGCTGCCGCCTTCGGGTCCTCCAACCGGCGCGGCTCAGCCCTCTGCGCGTGCGGCGTATGCCCACTTCCTGAATGTGCAGGGACGCACGATGTATGACGTCATCCTGTATGGGTGAGGAGCCTGGGCAGCAGGGCGGGGCAATAGGCGTGGTAGAGCGCGGGGGGGGGGCGGGGGGAGCTGGCTGGGGAGGAGCCCTCTCGGGAGGAGAGGCCGGACACATCCAAGGAAGGATGTCCCGGATAAGATTCCCAGGGGATGCTGGCTAGACACCGCTGAGAAGAGGCCGAATTAGATGTCTCTGGGAAAGGCTTCCGAAGGAGGATGATCTGGACTTAGAGAAGGGCTCACCTGGAGGCGAATGTCCCGTGGAAGGCATCCAGGTTCGCCCCGGCCCACATCCCGGGCTGTCCCTCCTTGACTCCTACCGGAGTCCAGGTCCGGCTGCCTGGTGTCTTTCTAAGTGGGTTTTGGTAAGCATCTTCAGTAGCCACCTAGGGTCTCAGAGTAAGAATATGTGGAGACTCCTCATGTCTGGAGGGTCTTTCCTGAACCCTTGAGAATGGCCATTCCAGGCTGAAAGTGGTCACTGAGAATTGGCAGCCATGACATCATTATCCAGTAGTTGTCTGCATTCTGTGGGGGAAACCTAGAGCGTCTTATCTCCAGGTGCTAAAAAGCCACAATGATGAGCCTTCTAGAGATCTTTTTTTCCCCTGTATTACATCGCTTGGTGTACTCTCTGAATCTAGGACTGCGTCAGCAAATGACAACCCTTGGGCCAGACCCAGTATGATGCTTTGGTGTGTAGCATTCCCTTCTCTGAGAATCCTGGCACACCCATTTTCCTCCCCTCAGCCTGGGACATTGTCTTCCAGGCAGTGTTAGGGCTGCGGTGGCTCAGGCCCTGGAGCCTAAACCAGTCTCTGCCCTTTGTAGAGAACACGCATGGACCCCACTCTGGAGGCATGGATCTGACTACATTTCCAGGATGTCACCATCTCTGTGTGATACCAATAGGCTGCTGGGTGGCCTGGGCCAGCAAGGAGAAGCTATTCAAGTGCCAGTCTTTGGTGGTTTTCATTCTTCATGGTGGTTGGCAGGGGCTGGCCGTGTGGTGGCAGTTGCCTCTGGAAGCAGGAGCATGTGGTGCCCTCTAGTGTTGAAGACCCTGAGTCTGCAGCCTTGGCCCTGCGAGTATTTACAGCTCACATTGTGGATCTAGTATAGGGTTCCTCGACCCTTGGCAGCGGCCAGTGTTCCGGCTCTTGTGTGGGATTCCTTAGCTGTTCACACCAGCCGGTGCCACAGCTCCTCCGACCAGCTCGTAGACCCCTGGCTCTAAAGGTTTGATCAACAGCTCTCCGGAGCTCGTCAGTGACCTGGCCTGCAGTTCTCTACTCCGGCTCTCTGCAACCTTTTACCCTCTTCCAGTCTCAGCTCTCCACCCTCTCGCTGTCTGTCTTTCCACTTCGGCTGCCTTTCTTCCTGCCCTGGCTGTTGTTGAACCGCTCAGCTGTTGCTTCAGCTGTCGGGCAGCTGGCAGTCTCGTCCTCTCTGCAGCTTGGTTTGTCAGCCGCCCAGCTGTGGCCACCACTGTTGTCCCGCTGCCTCTGCTGACCTCTACTGTTGCCGCCGCCGCCGCCGCCGCCGCCGCCGCCTCTGCTACTTTCTCTGTTACCAGCCCAACCTCCTCTACTAAAGTGGGCAAGAAAAGAGGACCGGGAGAGGCCTTTTCTTGGGGCTGGTGCTCTCACTCTAGGGGTGAAGTTCAGGAGAGTCTCCCCACAGACTCATTAAGTGAGCCTCCACAGCCGGTTTGTATAGCCTCGGAGAGATGTTTGGACCGGTCACAGACTTGCCTGTTGGCACCTTCACAATGACCGAGGATTGTGTTTTGGACAGTCATAACCCTGTGTCTTTAGCAGTAGTTAACAGCAGTCCCTCCTCTAGGTACCGGAAGATGCTGTCCGCCTGGCCTAGGTTGGAAGTGGTTGCAGTATCATCTGGAGTTCATTGAGACTTGTGATGGCAAAAAGTCTGATTAAAACTGTTCTAAACAACCTGGTGGAAGCTGTGCTGTTGGGGGGCGGGGGGCGCTGCTGGCGTAGGGTAGCCCGGCTCCTCATTTGACAGTCCTTTTGCTCAGGGAAGCAAGGGAGAGTGACTAGAGGAGGCAGGGTCAATGGAGAGTTAAAATCACTTAGGGGATCTAAAAAAGGAATTTATATGCTCAGACCTTACTCTTAGAAATGGCTGGGTAAGCCAGCAGTGGCACACGCCTTTGATCTCAACACTCAGGAGGCAGAGGCAGGCGGTTCTCTGTGAGTTCAAGGCCAGCCTGGTCTACAGAGCGAGATCCAGGAAAGGCTTCAAAGCTACACAGAGAAACCCTGTCTCGAAAAACGACAAACAAACAAAAAGAAATGGCTAGGTAAAAGGTTAGGAGTCTGGCCTGGCGGTGGTGACTGCGCATGCCACCCAGCACCCGAGAGGCAGAGCCAGGTGGATCTTGGTGAGTTTGAGGCCAGCCTGGGTTACAGATCGAGATCCAGGACAGGCACCAAAACTACTCGGAGAAACCCTGTCTCAAAAAACCAAAAAAAAAAAAAAAAAAAAAAAAAAAAAAAAAGTTAGGAGTCTGTGTGCAGTATAAGTCACAGTAAAATAAACCCGCCTTTTCCCCCTTTGTAATGGGAGAGTCATAGCTGTTATTGCACAAGAAGTTTACAACAAGAAACAGCCAGTTCATTCAAAAGGCAATAATTCCAAAACGCCTTGCAGGATGGTTTCCTCCACCAGAACCCTTGGTTCTGATAGGCTGACCTTCTGAACACTGGTTGTCACCTGCTGTATGGCCTTTTGCTACCAGCAGCTCTCAGTAGTCGGTGGGTCGGCAGTGGGCAGGGACTCCTGCCAGCCCTAAGCCCGTGTCCGTCTCCTACAGACTCCCTGAGAGCACCGAGGAGGCACCAGGCTATCTCCTAGAGTGTGACAGCTCTGTGCTGGGCACCTTGCAGAAGTACCTGGCCATATATAAGATCCGGCGGAAGGTCGCTGTGGAGCCATGTCCAGAGCTCCATGTGTGGGCTGTGCTACCCTGTGGCCCTCAGGTCCCTGAGGCTGCACCACTAGAAGAGAGGGTGGAAGCCACCACCATCCTCGCCCGTGACCCCCGGACTGTACGCATGGGGTGGCGGCTTCTCACTCAGGATGATGGCCCAGCCTTGGTGCCCGGGGGACAGCTTGGGGACCTCCAGGATTATCGTATGTACCGGTACCAGCAAGGTATGAGTAGGGTAATATGCTGGGCTGGTGTTGGGGGTGGGTGGGGAGTTGCAAGGAGGCCAGGGGGACCCCGTAAGGGGTAGAAGAGTTGGATGGAGTTGGCCTGTAGGGCTGGACTTCACAAACTGCAGGCCTGCACTTGCTGGACATGCTATTCTCATTTTCTTTGTTTTTGAACCCCACAGGCATCCCCGAGGGGATCCGTGACCTGCCCCCAGGGACAGCCCTACCTCTGGAGTCCAACCTGGCCTTCATGAACGGTGTGAGCTTCACCAAGGGCTGCTACATTGGGCAGGAGCTGACGGCCCGCACCCACCACACAGGCGTCATCCGTAAGCGTCTCTTCCCTGTGAGGCTTGAAGGCCCCCTGCCTGCCGATGGCATCAGTCCCGGTACCTCAGTGACGGTGACTGCGACAGGACAGGCAGCGGGCAAGTTCAGGGCCGGCCAGGGACACGTGGGACTGGCTTTGCTGCGGTCAGAGACCATCAAGGGTCCTCTCCACATAAAGACCTCCGAGAGCCAACAGGTGGCTGTGACTGCCTCAGTGCCGGACTGGTGGCCCACGGCAGCCAAGTAGCCGGATGCTCTGAATTTCACTGGCCTTAGAGTTACCAGGTGCCTCTGAGCCGCTGCCCAAGGTCTTCAATGTGTGTGCTGTGTCCCGTTGGGTATGAGTTCCTTCTCCTGTGGTGGCTTCCTGGACACACCCACTGGGAAAGTTCCATGTGTTCCAGGCTACGGATTGCCTGCTGCGTCCTGCAGAGGGTCCTACTCTTGTGGGCTCTCCTCTCCCAGGTGTGTGACTGAGAACAGAGTCACCATCCTGATGCCGGGAGAGGGAAGGGTCTGAGCTCCCCTTTGGACCAGATTCTGAATGGGATTTGATACAGTCCCTGGGCCAAGGCAGGAGTGAAGCCTCTGTCCAGTGTCAGCTCCCTAACCTTGTTTCTCTTGGAGGGAGGTTCTCTGTGTCTGCAAAATTACTGGGCCAGGAATGCAGGCACTGTGTTCTCTGGAAGCACATCTCAGGGCAGGAATTGTTTGGGTTGTGTGCACGGTGGGGAGGTTGATGCCCTTGGACTGGGACATGTGTTCTGTGAGCCACAGGGACTGCGTGTCCACTGTCCCAGGGGCTCTTCTCACTCCTCAGAGTGAGCTGCTGTCTTTTCACACTCCCCAGGAAGCTCCGGAGGCGTGGAGCCCAGGGCTCAGGTCCATCTGGGAGGAGCTTCAACCTTTTGGCTGGTTTGGGATGTCACTTTTATGTATGCTTTTAGTGGGGAGTGACTTGCTGGTGGGGTGCATGCTCCCCAGAACCACTTTTTCTAACCTTTGTAATGTGAACTGGGGTCTTGCCACAAAGCCTAAGGACCAGTAAAGTGTGATCTGTAAATAACCCCTTGGGAACTCTGGTTTCATTTTGGGCAGGTCTGGTAGAACAGACCCATGGGACGGCTGTCTCTGGAGATCATGAGCACACCAGATAAAAGTGTCCCACTATTGTAGCTATCTAGGTCTGGTTGGTCTTAAACTTGAGATTCTCCTGCCCTGGCTTCATGAGTGCTAGCCAGATTGACAGGAATGCACCACTGTGTTTTACAAGATACACCTATGTCTCTCTCTTCCAAAAGATGTATTTTGTTTTCATGTCTATGTGTGTGTCTACGTATGCATAGACATAGGGATGTATGTCTGGGTGCCTATGAAGGACAAAAGAGGGTGACAGATACACTGGAGTTAGAGAACAGGTAGTTCTGAGCTGCTGGATATGCATGATGGGAACTGAGTTTGGATCCCTGCAAGAGTAACAAGTGTTCTTAACTGCTGAGTCTTCATTCCAGACTCAATACATTCATTTCAGCAGAGTTCTGTGGGCCATGCTGGGCTGGCAGGAAGTGGGGTGGCCTCTAAGTCAGGCACAGGGAGTGGGTGCCCAGGCTTCAGGGTTAGGGTGGATAGCTCTGAACTGTTTTCTGCAGTGCCCTCAAGGTGAGACCCCAGAGGGTTGGGGTGAAAATAGCTGGGGTAGTTATTCTGGAGCCAGGGACAGTGGGGACTTCTAGGAACTGCGACTTTGGGGGGCTACCTAGGCTAGAGTTCCAGGCGCACTCTGAACTCAAGTGCAGTTTTCAGCAGCTTGGTGTCCCCTGAGTAGACTGGTGAGTCGGGGGTGGCCTCCCTCCTAGGCAGGATGTGACGGGGGCACCCTGAATGACCTCACTCCTCGTGGTACTGAATGGGTGGTCAGTGTTGGGGACAGGGACCTGGCAGAGACAACTTGAAGGATGGATTACTTTGGCTCACGAGTTTAGAGGGTTGCAGTTCATAGTGGAGTTCATGGCAGTGTGTGTGTGGGGGGGGGTGGCAGAGTCCCTCACATGGTAGGGGCACCAGGAAGCTGAGAATACCCTTCAGAACAGGACAGACCTCACACTCCACAGGCTACACCGCCTCCCAAGCAGCGCCACCAGCTGAGGACCACCATGAGGTCAAATGTGAGCCTGTGGAGGACACGTCACATTCAAACCACAACACTTGGGGTGCATACATAGGCTGTGCAGGTCCCAGCACAGCTGACAGACCCCGCCTGTCCTGGTCTATGATTGCCTGGTGCCCTGTGACTGCTTCTCCACTCAGGAGCAATGCTGCAGTTGTGTTGAATGTTGAGGTAGAAGATGAAATCAAGCGTGCTCTGGAAGGCTGTGACCGCTGGGCTCCTGCTGACCCCACCTGGCAGCTTCTTTAATTGACAGGACATAAATTGGTCTGCAGTCATGTGACTGGCTTTGCCTTCTCAAACCTGATGGGGAGCTGTCCGTACAGGGATTGGTGCCTCTGGGCCTTGTCCCTCACACATTCCAGCTTTCGAAAGGAGGCCAGGAAGGTTCTAAGCAGTCCCATTGGGTAAGGAAAGGGCAAGTCCCCAAAGAGGTGGACGCTGCTTGGGGCTGAGACACTGTCTCACCAGTGCTCGCCCGCTGCCTGATGTTGGGCTCTCACAGTCAGTCTCAGAAGTTTAGAATAGCAGCCCCACACGGTAGAAGTGCGAATAGGCAGAGTCACCTGTGCATCGGGCTGGTCTCCAGGGACCTCAGGGCCACTCTTAGTGATCCAGGCATGCGTTTGGTCTTCACATTCTCACAGGGATCTGCACAGACCCTGGTATAGACACTTGGAAACCGTTAACTGCTTTTCAGTGTATTTTGTAAAAAGCACAAAGCTGTTAAAAATAAACTGATTAAGAGGAAAAGGTGCAGCTGTTATTCTGGTTTATTTTATTTTTTCTTTCTCGAGTCAGGGTCTCTCTGTATAGCTCTAATGTCCTGGAACTCACTCTGTAGACCAGGCTGGCCTAGAACTCACAGAGATTCCCAAGTGCTGGGATTAAAGGTGTGTGCCACGAAGCCAGGCTTGTTTTTGTTTTTTGAAAACCTTCTCCAAACCAGGCTTTGGGGAATGCATTCCTAGGATACAGGGTCCCCAAACTTTTGACACCACATTCCAAGGTAACTAGCTGTCTGTTCTGTTCTCTGGTAAGGTGGTAGTCAGGAGTGGCTTTGGGAAAGGCCCCTGGAACCTGTGAGGCCAGAAGGCGGGTGAGGGCACAGGTGATTTTAATGACTTTAGGGAGCTCAAGCTGTAGGGGTGGTACCCAATCACTGGGCACCTTGCTCCTCAGGAAGAGGTTGAGGCCTGCTTGTCAAGAGGATGGGGGCAAGCTCCGGACTGAAGTCAGCCAGACTAGGAGCTGCCTAGCTTGGGAAGAGCAGGCTCTTCCCAGCCAGGGAAGTTTCCAATGCCAGAACCTCACAGTACACTGGGAAAATACCACACATGCTTAATGGAATCCTATGAGAAAGGGCCAGCAGAAAGACAAGTCCGCAAGTTTTAAGACGGAGTCACCAGGCACAGCAATAAGATAAACGTGGAATATATTAGATGTAAAGGATTTACATTTGAGTAAGAACAGGAGAGGGCCCGTTCGTTAGCAGAGAATGAGGCGGGAGGGAGAGAGAGATCCGTTAACAGGTACAAGGTCACAGCAGCCGAGACAAGCACATTCTCTTCTCTTACACAGAAGGGTGACCAGACAATGACACTGGTCATATCATTCAAAATAGCTGGAAGAGCGTTATGAATGCTCTCATCACAGAGAAATGGTAACTGTGTGATGGTGTAACCCAGCCATCCTGGGATCATCTCGAGACAAATGCACACACCATCACACTGGGCCCCTAAAGACACTTGATAATTAGCTGCCAGGTTAAAAATAAAACGTGACACAGAGAAACCCTGTCTCGAAAACCATAAAAAAAGAAAGAAAGAAAAAGAAAATGTGAGAGAGCAAGGAGGACTACTGAATAGATCAAGGACAAGGTAAAAGTGGGATATGCCAAGCACATGCACAAGCACAAGCCTCTGGCACACTGGAGGCTGAGGCAGGAGAATCAGAATTCAAAGCCAGCAAGGGCTACACAGACCCTGACTGGAAACAAAAAATGCCCCGCCTATAAGGAAGTCTTTGAGCATGTTTCCTGGAGAATTGGGAGCTGGAGACCACTGAGCCTCAAGAATGATCATCCTTGAGATAGGGTAGCAGACAAGGAAGACTGGAATACAGCACCCAGCAGTGTGAGGGCAATTCCAGAAGCAGAGGACACTGGCAGGGATGTAAATTATATTGGTAAATTGTCAAGTGCTATATGCTGTTGAAGCTTGTTGAAAGTGGGTTCTTGTTTTTTTGTGCCCCCCTCCCCCCGCCTCCGAGACAGGGTTTCTCTGTGTAGTTTTGGTGCCCATCCTGAACCTTGCTCTGTAGACCAGGCTGGCCTCAACTCACAGAGATCCGCCTGGCTCTGCCTCCCAAGTGCTGGGATTAAAAGCATGCGCCACCACCACCCAGCGAAAGTGGGTTCTTGGAGTCAGGGGGGGTCCTCTTATCCATCTCAGCTCCCTCCCTCTCCCCGCCCCAGCTCCTTGTCCTGATTTGGGTTGACCCCATGGCTGTAAATGAGGAGAAAGGAAAACAGAAAACAGCAAAGGTTGAAGAAAAGCTAGAGGGTCTCCCTTTCCATCAGTCACCATTGTTTATGCTCTGAGAGGTGGGAGGGCCTGGCACCCTCCCCAGGGTGCCCGGTTGTTACCTCAGCTCCCACTCACAAGGAGCTGTGGGGTAAGCAGCCTGCCGTGGGTTCTTTACCAAATCCCTCCATAGGGAGGATGAGTGGGGCAATGCGGCAGAACCAGCCGGGCGGTGTCACGTGGGTACAGCTCCAGAGCTTTCTCTTGGGTCCCTCTAGCCCTGGCTGGCCACAGTCTCCAGGCTCAGTCTCTGGTGCCTCTATGGCCCGGTTTGCTTCAGGGCTAGGACATCCAGTTTGGAGACCAAGGTGGTGCCATGGAGGTACTGTGAGGACCCCTGTCAGCTGCCCTGTATGGGACAGGGACAGGCCCCACTCCTCACTGACAAGGAGGAAGCGAGTGGAGCCAGCAGGTCCTGGAGAAGCAGGAAGCCAATGGAACAGTCACACATAGATGGCGGCCCTTCCAGAAGGGGCCCTGTTCCTTTCCTGCTCTTCTTCCTTGCTTGCCTTTTAAAAAACAAAAGTCATATATTCAGTACTGGCCTTGAAGTCAATATATAGCTGAAGATGACCTTGAACTTCTGAAACTCCAGAATCCACTCCTAAGCGCTGGGCTGACGGGTATGTACCACTATACCTGGTTGGTGGCACTTTGTGCATGCTAGACAAGCACTCACTAGTTTCTGATTTGACCCCTGCCAGCTGCCAGCTTGAGAGCAGATGGGCAGCCTAGCACCCAACACAAGACAGACAGATGTGGCTGCGGAGTAGGTGAGGTTCACAGTGAATCCTGAGCTCCGACCCCCCATCCCCAAACAGTATGTGATGAGCTGTTTGGTTATTTATGGCTATGGCTCCAAGTCCCCACCATAGCCCCACCATAGCCCCTCCCCCCCCCCAATCTGTCCTGAGCTGGGGCGGGAGGGGGGTGTTGCAGTTTCTGCGTGCTCAGATCATTACTTCAAGACAGGTCAGGGTGGTGTCAATCTAGCATTCTTGAGCATGGAGCTGGTGTTGCTTCAAGGCCATGTTGGGGAAAGCCAAGGCTCTCAAGTTGTGTATTTTTTTCCATATTGCAGGGAATATATACGAAACACACACACTTGTATAGGAAAATGCCAGGACACACGTGGAGGTCAGAGGACAACTTTTAGGAGCTGAGTCTCTCCTTGCAATATGGGTCCCAGGGATCAAACTCAGGTTGTCAGGCCGGGCAGCTATTGTCTTTACCCACTGAGCCACCCCACCAGTCCTTCCTGTTGTCAGTAATGCTGCCACCCATGTGCAAGGACTGATTTTTGTATGGGCATTG